GAAGCAATGGTAAAGAAGTATATAAACGATATCATTCCTTTATCCGGAAAGCCCTCCTCCTACAGGTCCCATTCACCGAACCTACACACATTGATTTTGGTTGTTCCTATCGCATGCGAAAGTAAACCGTCTATAAGTTCTGGAAAATTTATTAAAGCCTTCACATTGTGGCTTTGGGTTTCTCTAATTATATACGAGTAGATACAAACATACGTACATACATACATATATGTAACCTACAAATTATTAAGTGTAATTACAGTTGTCATTAAATGCTGCAGAGCCATTTGGAATAAGTCTAAGAAACTGAGTAATGTTGACGCTTATGTGAATATCTTCACATGACTTAACCACCACACCATCTACGTTAGGTAACAAACTCAATAAAAAATTAACTAAATAATTAGAGTTGAGAAATTTTAATCAGATCGAAACAGCAGTTCAGGCTCTTAAAAAAGTTAATACCTTAAGAAAATCGATATTTTATTGAGAGTACTTATAAGAAGAGAGGGAAAACAATAAAAAAAAATTTCAACATTTCAAAGCTAAAGCCATTGGAGAAGATGCAGTTGCTCGCTGGACTCTGCACAAGCGGTATACTAGCAACTGCTCCAACGGTTAGACATATAAGGTTTCTTTATCTACCTCCAATTGGAAAACATTACAGTGAAATTCGGTGTAAGATTGGTGGCTCCAGGGGAATTCTCCGACAAGACCTCCGAGCATTGCTCAATAGCAAAGAGAGGAGTAGAAGAGTAGATAGATCTGTGGAGGTATGTACTTAGAAGGTTTGATTGGTTTGATTGACGAAGTTGTCGCCGAATGCTTTTGGATCTCAATCAAACCTGTGACAATGAAGTAATGAGACTGATTATATTGCCGCGATTGTGGTAACCCTGTGAGCTTGAAATTCACTTTCCTTCTACTCCCCATTGATATATCTGCCATCGCTTTAGCTTGTTTAGTTCGCCTGCTGAGTCGTATATTCATGGCGCTCGTCACGAAAATGGAAAAACGAAATCAAGAGCAGCGCGTCGTGATAAAATGGTGATAGTGCTCTTAGTCGTTCCCAGGTGCTTCGATTGTCTCCGCACGTCACCGCCCGAAAAGAGCTCGCATGAGTAAGTCGGAGATAAAAACGACGATTATTGCCTTTTTTGATAACCGTGGAATCGTCCACAAAGAGTTTCTTCCACCAGGGCAAACCGTAAATTAAGCCTACTATCGCCAAGTATCTCTCGTAACTGGATCCTTCATCAAGGCAACGCGCCGTGCCTCACCGACCTCACTGTGTCCGAGTATTTGGCCTCTAAAGGAGTCACCGTGTTGCAACAACCGCTTTATTCGCACGATATGTCACCCTGTGACTTTTTTCTTGTTCCCTAGAACAAAATCGGTGGTCAAAGGAGCCTATTTTAAGTCGATTGAGGACATCCAGGCGGCCGTGACGAGGGTACTCGCTGACATCCCACTGAAGCGTGCCAGAAATGTTACGAAGCATGACCAACGCGCTGAAATCGTTGTACAGCTGCCTAAGGGAATGGCAGAGTTGTATAAGAATTTTGAAATATACGGAATATATGAAATTACAACAAAGCAGCTGTCTCTTTATACGCTGGACACTGTCAATGGCATTGTACATCACATACAGCCCTAAGTTCCATCTTCTGAGTTCTTCCTCTTTATCAAAGCGTAAAAGTCCGCACATTGAATGAAAAATCTTTCCCTTGAAAACCCCTAATGTCGACTCATCGAATGTCATTATCGTTCATTCATCTGAACGGAAATGATAACTGACTTGTAAAGTTAGTCTGTTAACAGTGACGTGGTAGCCGAGCCGAAGATACTTTGTCTTGCCCTCGTTCACTACCAGATCTCTATGTTTTGCTTTCTCATTCGAACAAAATTTGGCTCGAGAACGTCGGATCTTCTTGGAACTTTTCGAGAGTCCTTAGATCGATGCGGTGTTGCTTGGAAAAGTCGAGCTTGTTAAGTTTTTGCACAAACTCTACTTCGTTTAAGATCTCGACGTGGAATACGCCAAGTCAATCCATACGTCAGTCCTAGTTGCTGCGAACGGAGTCGGCGTACTACAGCCGATACAATTTTTTTTCACTAAAACAGATTCTTGTTAGAATTTGTGAACGTTGTTCAAGCGTAAGTCTTTCCATGACGGAATTTCATACATTACTGAACCAAAATAACATGGCAACATGACATGACTCCCGCGTGATCGGCAAAAAAAGACTCTTGGAAAAGTATCTCTACTTCGATCATGCGTTATATTTGGGACTTTGTAACCGCTTCAGCGCTTCTTACTGTGCCCCTACTCTAAACTGTGGTGTGCGTCTCCAACAAACAGAGGGACTAAGATTTTATACTAAGCTGTCTCCGTACGGTCGATGGTTTTTTATGAGAACTTTGATTTAATGTGAGAAAAATACTCATAGAACCAGCACCGTGGCATGACTACAATTAGAAAACCACATTTTTTCAACTTATTTTCCAACAATTTCGGTTGTTGGTCGGAACGGAACTCGGACATGGCTAAACATAAAGTTAAGAAAATAATTTCCCAAGTGCCAGTTTTAAAATAATTTATCGTTATTACGTATTTAAGCGCAATCGTAAATGAATTAGTAGCATTTGCTTAACATTAATTGATTGCCAACTCCTGTGTGCTCTACTTATTGAATTATTGCACATAACTTACACACACACAGACATACACACACATCAGTAAATAAACTCATATTCATGGCTTTCATACTTAAGTGCTTAGTGCATGTACACAGATTTTCGCTATAAATAATAAATTAAATAATTATTTGTACGCATTTAAGTACATACATACGTGTATTAAATATACTCAATTGAATATCTGAACGTGTGAATGTGAAATTTGTATTTCAATTATTTACGTAATTTATTTATTGTTGTTATTGTTGCGTTTTTGTGCGTGCATACGTCACTCGCCTAAGTATGCTTAATTACGATTACCAAATACTATTTATAAATGTGTGTATGCTTAACAGCTTACTATCGCTGTAAACATAACTTACATACAGACAGCTGTGGTCGCATTAATAAGTACAAAATTAGATTTTATAACAAAAAAAAAATATTTGAACTAAACACGACGGCATCTCTTACCTCTCTTACCCTCAAATTCAAATTAGTTATTTTTGTCTTTAATATTTACCGTTAGCAGTTTGGGAGGCCTATGCTAATTTGCATTCAATAAAAGTGCATAATATTTGTTTATTTCGATAGATTGTTTTATGAAAAATGGTTTTAGTAACAAAAATGAATAAAAATGGGATCAGTAAAATATATAATAAAACAGCCGAAGAAAGACATTCATATGGAAAATGCATGAAGAAGCGCAGAAAATGGCAGCGATTTCAAAATATATTTCTTGCAGAAGGTTTACAAAGCTAAGACGAAATTTGATTGCCATGACAGAAGCGCGCTCGGATTCTGCTTATGAGGAGAGTGATTCATTTCAGCCATCCGATAGAAGCCTTTCATTGGACACAGAAACATCAAGCGGGCTTATTCGAAGGTGGTATTATGCAGCAAAAATGTTTGGCCACAAAAAAAAAACAAAAACAGAACATCGGGAAGCGATTGACTTTCGCTAGAGCCTATAGAGAAAAATGGCTAAATATTACATGACTCGAGCTATCATGTTTGTGATTTCATTTTTAAGATTTTTACACTTACAGTTAGGCTTATATTAAAGCAGATCCAGTAAATAAATGAATTGTGTATAAAAAAAAATATTTTTGAAAACGTATTGTGGAGTATCGAAACGAAAATCAACAGTATGAGACTAGATGACAGAGTCTTGTTCATGGTCCCAAACGTCTAGAATATAATCACAGGTTCGCTCAGAAGACGGCGAAAATATTATGGTGAGGGGTGCATGTGCATTTTCTAGGTATGGCTTTATGCCTTGTACAAATTAACGACTAAATGGACAAGTTTCATTATTTGGAGATTTTTGAACATCTTATGCCTTCGATAGCAAGCCAATCAAATGAAATTTTATGGCGGATAACGCTCCCAAACCGCTCCTGTAAATTAGATATTTATTAGTTGAGTGTGGAAAAGATCGATGTTTTAGATTGACCAGTCCAGAATTTTGACTTAAATCCAACTCAAAACCTATTAATTGAACTCAAGATTGAAATTACAAAGAAAAATTGTGAAAAAATGTAAAATAATTTTTCAACCGTGCTGGCTGCTTGGTTTGCCATACCTGAGGTCAAGTGTTCAAAACTCGTAGAAAGTGTAAGTCGCAAGTAAGAAGCAATCATCGAAAATAAAAGTTATAGTATAAAATACAATAGATTAAATAGTGCGTGGAAAAAAGAACGTGAAAAAAATTCCATTTTCATATAATTTTTCCCTCCTTTGCTGGTTGTGACATTTGGGTATCCAGCTTGTTTCACCACCTTTTCCAAATTTATATTGATTTAATTTTTTTTTAATCAATGAATTCTAACTTGAGCTTTTGTTGTTGCTTAATGTGAAGAGTAAAAATAAGAAAATTGCTCGTTGATGAAGTTTTTAACGGCGCAAAAGCATAAGAAATCGTCTTAAATAAATTTGCCATTTATATGTCCACAGCTGTATGTCTATGTATATCTACTTTCATTAGTTAAACATCAATTCGCTAACACCCACTCACTGTCAGACACAAAAACAACAATAACCAAATACAAATACACATACACAATATAATACATAAAATGCAAGTGTATGTGTGATTGCTGACTTTACGGCTGGCACCAGAAAGTCGATAATCTTTGCAGTTTGTTTTCAACCAGTTTTTTATTTTTCTTTTTGTTGTTTTCTTTTGTCTAGTTATACCTTCCTATCAATGCTAGTTATTTTTTTTTTTTTTTTTCTATATTTACACTCTGGCATCCTTTGCGAAGAATATGAATTGCACACAGCTTCATTTCATTTTCATTTCAATTTCCATTTCACAGATTAGTTGCAGCTATCGGCGACACATATGGCGGCGCTTTGTTGTTGCACATGTTGACATCCACCATTATGCTAACGTTGTTGGCTTATCAGGCCACGAAGATCACCGGCGTCAATGTTTACGCCTTCACCACGGTCGGTTATTTGTGCTATGCTTTGGCGCAGGTATTTCACTTTTGCATATTTGGCAATCGGCTGATTGAGGAGGTGAGTATGGTGGCGCTGGTCGGTGGTTGTGGGTGAAAAGAGCGTGTCAAATCGGACAAAAATAATAAAAAAAAAGAATGAAGTTGTACTTAAAAAAATAATTTCAATCGTTTTCTCATTGCTACATCCGAAATCCAGTTCAAAACTCGATATAAATTAATTATATTTATTATAGAAAAAAGAGTCGTAACCACCGAAATTGGGTTGGTATCCCTACGTAGGTATGCTAAAAATGGCACCTTTCCAAATTTGAGCTCTCTCCTCCCTTAAAGGTATCATACTGGCAAAAAAAATTTATTGCAGCGGGACGGAGATCTTCTGCTATAGTTGCACACTATGATAAATTTATAGACGATCTGCCCGATCTGCGGAAAGCTACAGTGTGAAATTCTCTTGCCACGCCACTGTTGACAGCCATAACTTTGAAGTCATTAGCCTCGAAATCCAACGCGAAATGACTCTTTCCAGCAGGTGCTACTTTGCACTGACTACGCTCTAGATGAATAAAGACCAAAACTCGACGAGTCGCCCATCCTCCATTTCTTCCCATCCTATATGGTGTAGAAGCATGAATGTGACGACGTTCCATGAGTCGGCAATAGAAGTTTTTCTAACCATTTATGTACCTCTGCGCAGTGGTAGCGAAGGAGAACGTAGACGTTGAAACCAATGAGCTGTACAAGATGTACGATGCCGTTGACACAGTTCAGCGTATTAAGAGACAGCGGCTACCCTGGCTTTGTCACATTGTCTGAATAGACGAGAATACCTGAGCCTTGAAAGTTTTCGACACAATGTCCGTCGGTGGCAGCAGCGGAAGTGGTAGACCTCCAATTAAAAGATCAGGTGGAGAGCGACTTAGTTTCACTTGGTTTCTCGAAATGACACAAGCAGAAAGGAATGGTGCACTGTTATTCAACTCTGCTATAATCGCGTAAGCGTTGGGTACTCGTACAAATGAGTGATGAGATATTATATTTAGATTAGCATAGAAAAGGTACCGTCTTGCTCAGGCTTACACTTCTCGTGCAGCCATTCCATCCCGCTATATTTAGTTTTTAGGGAAATGAAACGAAGAGCACTTTTGTGAGTCTAAGTTTTTAATTAAATTTATTTTCAATTAATATTCAAGACTTGCAATGGCATTAAATTTCAGGGATTTTTTCAATATAACAAAAATTTAGATGCATAAGTTGTCCCACGTAGCATCAAAATTAAAATCGCAGCTCGACAGTATCAAACTTTCCAAACTTTCGTTAAAAATATCGCTAACTAAGAGAAAATCAAAACAAGAACATAATCTACAATAGCGATACGGAAGCATGGGCGAACATTGCTCCACAAACAAACTGGCAAGCAGCTCTGCTACGCTCGCGGCGGATATGCACTCGACACACTTCCGCTGGCGTTGTTGTACTCCAACGCCAACTTATTCCCCCAGCAACTTTTCAAAAAAAAAAAAATCCACTTTAATGCTGTGCTCGAGAAGAATAAAACAAAAATAGCAAATAGAAAATAGAAAATAGAAAATTGAAAATACAAAATGAAAAATAGAGAAAAAATTTATGCCAAGAGAAATCTCTTGGCCACATTGCAATTCGCCGCTTGCCGCTGCTAAGCTGTTCATTGCCTCATTGCACATGAATAAACCATCGCCGAGTGTTTCCTCGAATCTACACGCCTTTTCACGATCTAACTGTGCTTTCTGTGCAGAAAACTTTATTTCACTTTTAGCGGTAACTTTTTATTTTGCAATTTTTCATTTTTCATTTTTTCACTTTTCATTTTTCTCATATTTTTTTGTATCCTATATATTTTATATACTTGTACGAGTATATATATATAGTTATAAATATACATATATTTACTTTTTCCTATTACCCGCAGAGCTCATCCGTTATGGAGGCAGCCTACTCCTGCCATTGGTATGATGGCTCCGAGGAGGCCAAGACTTTTGTCCAGATCGTTTGCCAGCAGTGCCAAAAGGCGATGTCCATATCAGGAGCGAAGTTTTTCACCGTCTCATTGGATTTGTTTGCATCGGTATGCCACTTTCACACATATGCATTTCAATTTTATACATTATACTCGGCTTAACTGTGTACAGAGGGTGTATTTGCTTTGTTCTGCTAACGGTTATAAATATGCGACGTCTCAAAATAATCTGTATGTCCATCCATTTCTCAGTATATCCATTGGTCCGTATATGAGGCAACTTAAATAAGGACTAAGATATTTTAATGAAACTTGGTTCAAACTTTACCTTGGTCACAAGTACGGACGCTATTGTGGTTGGCTGGAATTGGACCAGCTCAAGCCCATCTCCTTTCCCTCTAGAACTAAATGTGTAGTTAAAGTTATATTTGTTATGGACGAAAACTGGGCTAACGTCGTGGGTCTTAGCAGAGCTAGCTTCAAATCGGTACCAAACAAAGCTCAGGTGGCCACCTTCAGCCGAAACTAAACACTAAGTACTTGTGAACAATATTGAATGCCAAGCTGTCGTGAAAGCTCGATTTGAAGTAGCGAGTAAAAAAGGCATCCCAGCTCTTTTATGGGATCTTTAGGCCGCTTTTCACGTAGTTTTAAATATACCATCAGCGTACAAGGTAAACAAAAACAGAGCTTTCCTAACTCCCTCGAGGCTACATACCTCAAATCAGCTAGAGAGCAAGAGCTTCCCAGCCGCAATAATTGCTACAAAAATGGTGGCAAGCTTCCGCAGTGAACTATCCGCAGTGGTTGTACAATGTAAATCGGCACCAGGACATAAGGGCATCGAAGCCAACGAATTAGCCGATTAATTTGCTAAAGAAGCAGTGCGAGAGGTTGGAAACATGAGCTTATCAGGTCTGCTCAAATAAGTGAAAATTAAACAAGAAACTTGTAAAGTTAATGGACTTTGGGTAGAGGGTGCGGAATAACGAAAATGATGTACCAAACACATTCTTAGTTCCCACTAGCGTAAAAGAGGTCAGACTTCAGGTAAAAAGTAGGACTGTTTACAAAACTGTGACTGTTGGCCTCGCCTGCTTGAGTACTCGGAGCTCCGAGGGCAAAGACTTATTATCCTTTTTTGCAATAACGAACACGGCTTTCCGTAACCTGCTGCCGAGCCGATCGATGTATACGTATAAAGAATAAACGTAAAAAATTCCTACATTGGAATCGAAAATTTTGTAAAGTCTGGACTGTACTGAACCCGAGAATGAGTAAGATCGCGGTTGCTTTTACTTTTTACATTGAATAGCTACAGATTTGCTCATCAACTGCTAAACTATATTGAATTTTAAGAGCGATGAGGAATGAAGAGATTATTTATTATTATTAAGACTCTTAGTAAATCTTTTTTGATACAAGACAGCGAGTCAGAAGAATCAATATTTGTCATGCGTAAACACAAAAAAAAGGATCTAAAGTGTCTCGAGGAGCTTAAAGAGATACAAAAGCTAAGCACGCTAAGCATGAATAGATTGTTGGTAGTATTTCTTATCAACTTAGATATAAATAAAGCTCCAAACGACTGCTAAGGCTATAGAGCGTGAGCAGATAATAACCCAAATTTTTTTACGAACGTGAACGCGAGGATAAGCTACTGGATCTTCTATCGGCGAAGTACAAAGAAAAAGTTTATTTCGATCAGCTAACCGAACAGCAATGTACTTCAAACTTGTTTTGCTTTTCATTGGAGCTAGTTTCTATGCGCACAACCTCGCTAAGCGAATGAAGTTTAAATTTGCTACACAAGACCGAAATCCGCTCGCAGCCGAACTTTTGCTAAGACCGTACTCAGCGAACTTTTAAGCTGAATTTGTCGGAGTGGCTTCCTTTAGACGTGACCTAAGAATCCACATTGGCTGGTTACCGCATATTGCACAAGCGTTACTCACGTTTCCAGTTTGCACGAAGTGGACGCAAGAGTAAGAATTGACTGTAACCGTATACCAAGAAGCTTGACTAAACCCCATTACACCCATGACAGTCACAAATTTTCCAACAGGTGCAACTTTGGACTGAGTAGGCATTAGAAAAGTAAAGTCCCCTCTCGACGAACGAAGACCAAACTCTACAAGTCGCTCGTCCTTCCCGTCCTGCTACATGGAGCTGAGGTATGTGTGATTACAGCGTCTGATTAGTCGGCGTTAAGAGTTTTCGAGCGAAAGGTTTTGCGTAATACTTATGGTCCTGTACAAGTAGGTAACTGCGAATGACGCAGCCGATAGTATTAGCTGTACGAGATATACTGCGATGTTGACATTGTCCAGAAGTTCAAGAAACTGCGGCTGCCTTGGCTAGGTCATGTGGTCCGCTTGGATAAGAATACTTCAGCTTTGAAACAGCTTTGATACAGTACCCACCGGTGGTAGCAGAGGAAAGGGAAGGCCTCCACTCCGTGTGGAAGACCAGGTAGAGGTGGACTTGGCTGTACTTGGTATTTCCAATTTTCACTGCGAAAACTAATAGCGCAAGATGCTTATCTCCACTATAATCGCGTAAGCGGTGTCTACACTTGTAAATAAGAAGAAGTTCTTTCAACTGGACACATATCAGTGCTTTTGTCGTATGTAGAGCTTCTGGGAATTCTCAACTGAGTCTTAACTAAACCTATGGACGACCACATCAAAGAAGAAGGATGGAAAAAAGACATGGGCGTGGCACCACCTAAGTTTGTAGCAGAGGACGAAATTCGATCAAATTTGATGCGTATAGTTCCACGACTTAGATACGGACCCAATCGGACCACAACTATTCCCTTGTCAAATTCAACGGAATGTCATTTCCAACTCCCTTTGACTGCAGATTGGATATTTAAGGAATTATTCAACAGAACTCAATCAAACTTGGCAGGTTTGCGACTTTTTATGGGACTAAAATTTCATCAAACATGGCTGACAATGATCCAGGAATAAACCTTTCTCTCATTGAACAAATCCTTGATTTCTGGTCGAGCGGTGAACTCAACATGTGTATCAGCCAAGTAACAAAATGCACGAACTCAGTCTTCCTTACTTGGTTCTCATATGAATTTGTTTGTGTGGTGGAAAGAAGTGCAGTTGAGTGCTGAGTGACTAATGGTTTGTTATTGTTGTATTGAATTTGTGGTTGCGGCTATTTTCAACGTCATCAAGTGGCCACAAATTCACTTTAACACACACAAACACACATAAACACACGCACACACTCACAAGCATGTGAACATTTCGAGAAAGCGATTTATGCCAGTGCTGGCGCTTTCTATGTGAACTCAACGCCCGGCTTGTTTGTCACCATTTGCCATTCGCACACAAAATAGACGACATTTATCTTGAGTAACGTATTCGTTTCGTTTAGTTTTTTTTTTACTTTTTTTTCGCCATGTCTAACCCACTGCAAGCAAAATTCATATTCTTTAAATCACTAACTTCTGCTCCATATATTTTTCTTCCTTCCGCCCGCCGGCTTCTGCAAAAAAAGGTTCTTGGCGCTGTGGTCACCTATTTCATGGTGTTGGTACAATTGAAGTGAAGCAGCAGTGCAGACGAAAGCATAAAAGTACGAGGCGAAATACTTAAAAATATATTTAAGAAAAACAACAACAACAATAGTTTGGAACACCTGTATGCAAGGGATTGGAAATATCAAAAAATGCAAGTTGGTCCGTCTCAGCGAATGTCTAGTCAACAAAACATCAAAGGAAATGCGTTACCTATGTGTTTGTAACGTAACGTGAAAAAAAAATTATATAAAAATTATTTAAATGTTTTATTTTTAGAATAATAAGTTTTCTTAACAGTTCATTGAAAAATACATAGTATATATATTGGCTAACAGCAATATTGCCTTAACTCAAAAAATAAATAATGCTGAGTATATATTTGAATGTACATAAGCTATAAGCGTTTTCAACGTTTTTTTTTTTCAAAACTTTTATTCGTCACCGCGCTTTGGGTTGAGTACTCGCATATGCTTTTTAACATTTTAAGATTATTTTTTTATATATATAAAATTTTTTTTAATTCTTTTTGACGTTATGCTTTTTTACTCGTTATGTAGTATATATCTATATAAATACAATATACTTATATATGTATTAAGTCACATAAAAACACGCATTGTAATAAATTCCTTTTAGGGAAAAGTACAATAAAGGGCGTAGTGCCGACAAAACTGTCTAAAATTGAACTATTTATCACGGTTTCGTAAAGTTTTTTAGTGTAATCATAAAATCTGAAATTCTCTAACGTCAATAAAATATTGTCACTCCCTTGTTCACCCAAGGTCATTATGAACAAATAACCGTCTGATATGCTTTCAGTGCTTTAAACTCTTTTTCCGATTACAACCTACGAGTGCGCGAATATATAGGCAGATGGCGAGATTGCGCCTTCTGATGTATCGTTATTGAACAGTTAGAAAATTTGACGAATAGCTGTTGCTTGGCTATCGTCACACTTTCGTTTCATGCGTAGTGCACTTTAGAGTTTTTCACTTAATAATTATCTGATCGAAGCGAAGCTAGTGCAGGGAGCAGTACCATCTGTCTCTTCTTTTCGAAAAGGTAACCAACTTAATGTAGTAGAGTATGTCGAATATGATCGACAAAGACCAGCGGAACAATTTTCACCCCACAAATAATTTAAATAAAAATTTGTTGTAGCAAGGAAAACTGTTAATTGTTATTTTAGCCCACCCTAGGTACACCATGTATACCTCAGTCGAGAAACTTCGTTGGAACTGATGTGCGAATAAAGAGTGCAGTGTTTGGTTGTAAATCTAAATATTTATAAAAAGAAAAAAGACAGAAGGGCACAGTTAATTTACATTTCCCACCAACACAAATTTGGTAGATGGCAGTAGTTCTTATCGCTTGAACCGCGATGAAATTAAAAGTTTGTTTGTAGTAATACTATATAGCCAAAGGTGGATTGCACGATAACACTGATCAGCCAAAGAAGACTAATTTGGGATGAGAAGCTACATTCTTGGGTATAATAAGAGCGCTGCATTCGCCGGCGAAAATACATAAAGCGGTGATATCCCTAACTTGCAAAATCATCACTCAATTTCCGATTTTAATGAACGCGGTTTTGCGCGTCGGCGACGGCGCTGAGCTGCACGAGTTATACGGCGACATTGATATAGTTCAGCGAATCAAGAAGCAGCGGCTACGCTGGCTAGGTCATGTGGCCCGGATGGATGCGAGTTTCAGAGTTTTCGATGCAGTACCCGCCGACGAAAGCAGAGGAAGGGAAGACCTCCACTCAGTTGGAAAGACCAGCTAGAGAAGCAACTGGCTGTGCTTGGTATTTCCAATTGGCGCCATACAACAAAAAGAAGAAACGAATGGCGCAATGTAAGTGTAAGTAAGTAAGCTCATTCAGCTACTTCTTTTTTTATATAAGCCCCAAAAAGAAGCCAAAGCGGCGTCAATGCAGGTGGACGATTTAGAGTTTGATGAGATAAAAAATGTACCCGGATATATAAGCCATGGATTGCGTGATAAAATTTTCCAGCACGTCCGGACTACCCATTTCAGTGAGGCTGGATTAACTCTACCGAGTGAGGAGGTGATGCAGTTCATGTCTGCACTGGAGGATATTTTTGTATTAACTAATGAAGAATCTCTGTTAATTATCAAATATTTTGTAAAGAAAAAACTGATTGATAAGCATCTACTGGATTGAAAATATTTATACAAAAATATTAGTTTGATATTAGTTTGATAAATACTCAATCGCAAACAAAGAAAAATGCTCGTTTTGAAAAAGTATGAAAATTGGCTTTCTAGCAAAACCACATCGAAATCATGACGTATGCAAAAACAACTACAAAATCTATAATATAGCATTCTTGGTGTGCACAAGGCTGTGTTGCCAGAAATTGTTTAGCGATTCAGTTGAATGGGACAAAAGGAAAGGCTTTATCGAAAAGGTCAGCCTCTGGCCCACTTGAGTTGGCTCGAGTTAAATTGAGTTGATGTGGCTGTTGGTCAAAGGTTTGAACCGATTCGTATGTCTTATAAAAGCAATGAAATTACCAATTCTTGCTGAAGCTAGCTCAGCGAGATGTTTTGAGAGCAGTTTAAGCATATGCTTTGCCGTTTACAGAGGTATACTTGCATTGTGTGCTCTCCCACAAAACTGCCTGGGATGTCCCTGGGTCCGGACACTAATATTAGTTTTATAGCCACTTTTGTTGTAGTACTGCTGCACTGTAGAGAATTAATGGCAGCTTGACTGACGTAATATACCGTAGCTAATTATCCTGCTCTCATAGATTTGAGCAGCTACTTGGCTACTTCCATGATTTTGCTTGGAAGACGCTTCAGTGGACTGGCAGTCTCATGATCATATACGTGTATATTGAGAGCAAAGGAGAGTTAATTTCATAGCACACTTTCTCATTGAGCTTTGAGCCGACTATAGCTTCTCGATCGAGTGCATTTGTGTTTCCCCATTCCTTCTTGTTTGAAGGTGGTGTGCTCCAGCTCCTTTGGCAATAAATAATATTTTAGCATTCCCTTTACTGTAATTCCTCCAAGGTTGAGTAGCATCAAATCTGATTGTGTTCTAGCTCGCTTGTATTTTCTGTACAGGTCTAAGAGAAGGAAGTTGACGAGAGTTAGCAGTGCTTTTAGGGAGTCGATGGCAGTACTAATATGAGGATGGCTGCGAACGTTAAACTTTCGCTTGTTTGCTTCTGTAGTAACTTTCTGTAGTGCCGGTAACACCGTAAAATACAATTGTATTAACCTAACTACTGCTGCATAAATCCAGTACACAATATTCGGTTCTAGACCCCATCTTTTACCTTTCACCGTTTTTAAGCGTAAAATGCAGCTTTGGCGCTACTTTACTTTTCTACGTAGAGGGTGTTTTGGAAGATATTGCTTAAACTTTGTGGGTGCTTACCTGCCGATGTTAGAGTAATTTTGTCAGCGCATGCCGCTACATAGCAGCGCACTTCGTTCAGTTTTCGAATCACTGAATTTGCTTTGAAAAATACCCATTGTTGTGTGTCTGCCACCATCTATTGCAAAGTCATAAAAAATGTTAAAAATCCCTTCTGTATTGGGAAATACTTCCAAGCGTGATTTTCGTCCGAGCTCTTTCATCAATTTGTGGTTTTTCAAAAAGTCTTATATTTTGAACAAAGCGAATTTACATAAGGTGAAGTTTTCACATCGTATGATTGCTTATTCTTACTTCTATTTCAACAAATTACAAAAGCAATATACTTGAGAAATAGATTTTGACATTCGTTGGTTTACAAAAAAAAAAAAATAAACTGGCTTTTTTGTTTTTGTATTCTTGCTACTACCCTGTGTAAATTAGCCTTGACTTTGAACAAGTAAATTTTAAAATTAAAGAAAGCTGTTCTGAGAAAAAATTAAGACTTTTGTTGATAATGCTCGAAAATTATTCGAATAAAATATTAAGCTCTAATATATGTATAAACAAAATAATTATGTAACTGTACTTTTTCCACTCTATATCAGCTTTTAGGATTTGAACTTGACGGCATATGACTTGAAGGTAACTTGTGCTTCACCTATTTACGGTGTTTTGATAACACTGGTCAACGTAATTGATACTTTTTTGCCACATGAAAACTTATATCAAATTTGGAATGTATTAAGGCAAACATGCAAAACATTGTCGGACAAATTGTTTCTGATCATTCAATTTTCTTTCTATAGTGAATTCCAAATAAATCCTTTATTTGTGGACCTCCAAAAAGAAAATAAATAGTAAATAAATAAATAATAAATTTCCTCTTTATTATTTGCTTCGCTGAATTTCAGGAATTTCTCTTCATATACCATTTTGCTGACTTAGTTAAAATTCCTGACTAGAATCCCAGCTTTCTGATTGACATGGAGGTTTTGGTACGAACAAGTGCGAAGGGTTTTTGAGCACAACCAAATTTGAATGGTGAATAGTGTGTGTAGTCTTAATTGTACAATAAAAGCTTTTGTTTGAGTCTCATAATCTCTGTTTAAGGAAGCGTCGTTATAGTCGTTCGGAACCCCTCCCTTTATCTAACCACTTTTTATATAGCCAAACATAGCCTTTCCAGACGTGGTGTTTTGCATTTGTCATGAATTCATTAAACATGACCGTGATTGATTGCTTTCCGAATCTAACTCATGAGTTACGAATCAATTATCATTATCTCACCTAAATTTGCTAAATAACGTCATGTGACAAAATACATAAACAATTTTTTTTTTGTTTAAATATATTTACAAGTTGGTAATAAGCTCAATATTTAATAACTACTCCAAATATATATCGTACAGGAACAGATGCCGCGGACAAATGCTCAAAAACGTAAACCCCGTGAAAAAGGTTTTCATACAGAATTGAGTTGGATGATCATGTTCTGGTGTCTCTTCAAAAGATGACATACTCAAGAGTGACGAAGATTATTGAAACAACACAAAATAAGCTCATTGAAGTCTACAAGCAAGCGATACATGAAAAAATATCACAAAAATTGCCCAAGCTGAATTTCATACTATAGTTTGCGATGAATTCCCAGTTTTGCCAGGGAAAGCTCAGCGAATATGTAGATTTAAGCTTAAATCTTTATCATACTGTGAGAGGTAGAATTTTTATTTAATTATGTATGTGAGCTCATTTTTTCGAGCAGAATAGTCTCAACCAGATCTCAAGTATGTAAAAAACGATTCAAAATGATTTTGACGCTTGAAGGTGAACTTTCAATTTGATAACGACCGTGAAGTCGAATGGAAACCTTATCTTTTAGGAGTTGCATTAGGTCAAGGAGTCTAAATACTTTATTTCAACATGACATTGTGCACAGCTCTATGGACAAAGGAATGGGCGGTCATTCTGATGGAATGTAAGCCATAAATTAGATTCGGAAAGAACCGAAAAATACTGGCACGACATACCGTTTTCCACATACATGTAGGCATTTCTGAAAATCACAATTCGTATAATCAATTATTTTAGTCTGAAAATGCTTGACATTTCAGATGATATTCTGAATGTGTTGCTTTTTGATAAAAAAAAATAAGGTGAGATTAAGTTAAGTTAAAGATTATGATACCACTGAAAATCTCATTAGCGCCTACTCAAAACACCGTGGGAAATTGGCGAAACAGATCAAATCTCTCTCTCTCTTTGTAGCCTCTATTTCAATTAACTTTATAAAGGTTGCCACCCTTAGAGACCACAGCATTCTCCTTCTTCCTGCTCTCAGCATTTTAATTCCTCCAGAAGTCATTTTTTGGTACGTTCAGTCTTTCTAGGTGGCCATGTTATAGATAATCTCCCGTAATAAGATCCATCGCTGTAGACGTTTCGCTCCTTATCGAAAGAGCTCTCTCGATCTTAGTTATCTTATTCCAATTATATTATATTATCCCAGCCGCATGGCAAAAATTAAAACTAATCCGTCTTGAGTAAGCATCCGCGATTAAAGATTCTTTACACCTGCGGGTTAGTGGTTCAAAAATTTGCCCGCGGTAAGGCATGCCTGCCGTGAGATGCGACTAAAATCCAGTAGTTCCAGCGACAGTCAGGATTTTTATCCGGCAAAGAACTGTCACTGCCGCAACATTACTCAAAAAGTGCTTTGTCGAATGTTTTTGCGGTTACAACAACAACAACAACAACCACAACACAAAAAACTATTCGTTCTAGTTTGACAGGTACTCAAATAGTCGATGAAATTATTTAACCGTTTGAACAAGACTGGCAAACAAACTGTTTGGAGATAGCCGAGGGATAAAGTATCACTCAAGTGCCAGTTTCAAATAAATTAAGAAAAGCTGGCTAATCAAAGGATTTCAATGTTTGGGTGCCACTTGAATTAATAAAGAAAAATTATTGATCGGATCACCATCAGTGAAACGCTTTTGATATGCGACAAAATCGAACCATTGCATAGGGAACTCATGATAGGAGATAAAAATTGGTTTAATACGTGAATATAAAATGAGAGAAATCGTGGTGAACGCCGGTGACGTTCAAAAAATTACTCCAAAGCCAGAAATGACGGGAAACAAGGTTACGCTGGATTTATTGTGGGACTGAAAGCGAATTGACCGTTAGTAACTACTACAACCTACAACAATAAACCAGCTTACAGCAAGCTCTTCAAAAACAGCGTCCAGAATTGGTTAATAGAAAAGGTATGTGCATTTTTGTTGGGCAGGCAAAAATTAACGAAGCTTGTTTGAGAAGTTTGAATGCACCCATCATAAAGCACGAACCTTGCCCCACTGACTACCACTTGTTTCCGTCTCTGCGAGACTTTCTTGATGATAGAAAATTGGCGGTCCGAACAGCCGCCAAGTTGTTTTTTGTGGTTAAATCATAGAAGTTATGCACAGATGGAATCAGAAAGGCATTCGAAAACTTCCGTTTTGAAATTCGTAGATACTCCTCTGGACGCACATTACCTATTCGCCGCTTACATCGCCACAAAAACTAATTTCAACAGAAATTTGCTGAGAGTCTTCCAAAAGATGTTGTTTTGATATTCAAAGAAAATTTGCATTTTTTGACATAAATGATCGGATGTATAAAATAAAAAACAATATAAGCCAAGGAACGTAAATTTTTATGAATATTTCCATCACCAAATCGCAAAGTGACTCCATTATGTCCCATTAGCTGCTCGGATTCCATATTTGAAGTAGTCCTGAACCGATGCTGTTGGCGTATACCTTTTCCTTCATCTTTGGGCAACAAAGAAAGTAGTTGCGGGGTGTTAAATCAGAAGATCTCGGTGGCCAACTGCGATGATCTCTTTGAGAGATAACATGATCCCGAAATTTTTCCCCCTAAAAGATCGGTGGTTTCGTTGCTTCTGTGGCAGTACAATGGTACTGAGTGGCGTTTCAAAATCATTTGCATTTCGACGAAAATCCGACAGAGTTGTTCGATGTTGATATACCGAAGGTATAGCTAAGGCGCTCTGTAAAAAAATTAAGTTCATGTCATGCCTAAATAAAGCATGACACTGTGAACTACCCTTAAGCCAGACCAGTTACACCCCATTAAATAAATTATTTATCTCTCATTGAAACTTATGACGAGTGTCTTAATAAATAAAATAAAATCAAGGCTTGGCTGATATCTCAATATCTAACACTAGTGACTCATCTATATATCTCGCAAATAGCTCAGTACATTTTTATGTATGTATTATACGTATGTACGAGTATGTACTTATCTGTACGATTTCAGTAAGTAAACATTGGTATATGCCCTTATCATATGAAAAAAAGGAACAAGTTTAATTTGTACCTCGGCGTGATGGATCATGCACATATATATATATATATATATATATATCTACATAGGTATGTTATGTATGTATTGTTTACATGTTTCGTATGGCAAGGTGGAATTATTTCAACTTTAATTTGCTCATATCTTATCAATATGTGGCATGTTGTCAGCAGCGCATGTCGAAAAATAGAAAAATACAAAAAAAAAATCATTTATTTTTTTTATTCTTTGGAAATATGCAATACAAACAAATATCGCAACGTAAATTATGCGCCGTAATTACGTTGTTGTTTCTAATGAACACCAAATTGTGCTGAATATATTTTTTAAGCCTCCCACACAATTAATGCAATTTTCTACATATGCATACATACATACATATGTGCGTAAAAAAAATTATTTTGTAAATATTAGAATATCGAAAATGTGTCTTCACCAGCGCACTTACACATATAAAAAGCTGTTTTTTGACTTTAAAAATAATTTTTCTTTTTTCAATTTAGACAATTATTTTTATTTATTTTTTATTGTGAAATCTTAAATTAACGCAAGAAGTACTTTACAATGTTTGTTGTTACAAAAATGTCAACTGTTGCTTTTTATTTGTTCCAATTTTTAAGCTCGTAACTTTCGTTTGTTGGTTTTTAATTTATACATAAATATTTATTGTAGTATATAGTGTAAAATAAGAGAAAAATATATTATATATACAATTACGTAAATAATTTAAATCGATTTGTGAATTTTCATAATCTACAATAATATTTTATTATTAAATGTATATGTATATATATGTTTTTTTCAATTAACAAACTTAAATAAAACATAAATAATTGCAAAAACGAACGATAAAGCAGAGGCATGTGAAGCAGCAGAGCTCTCGTAGCAGCTGGAAATAAAGAAAATGACATTTTTTCATATATGCACATATATAATGTTTTTCTTAAAAAATAAATTTATAAAATTTTTGCTACTTACACACTACTCTGAGTAAGATCGGTCATATTAGAGAAATCTGCATAAGTACTGTTAACCGAAACGGCATATGAGGTTAATGTTGCACTCGAAACCGGACGTTGGCGTGTAAGAATCGCGCCAAATGAGCTGTTAGCAATACTTGTGTAGCCACAAATGATTGCATAATTCGTGTTATCGGTTGACAACACTTTTACCGTTACATTTCCAAGGCTCGAACTGAAACTATAACCAGTCATTGGTGAAGTCTGGCCTGTCACGTTTGGAGCTTGGAAGTCCAATGAATAGGTGAGTGTTTGATTAATGTTAAGTGCATTGGCACTTGTCGGCATTGTCAGATTTAGATATAGACCAGTTGCGTTCGAAACTAAATCGAGAGCCACACAACCTAGTGCACTTGCTGGAGAGCGACTTGACTCGTACCAAGAGCCAGTAAACTGTGGGGAAAATAAATTTTGTTATATTAAATTTTTTCTTGAAACAAATTTAAGTAAAATAATAAAAAATACACTAAAATTATTTTAAAGGAAATACAAATAATAAAAAATAAAATAGACTAAAATTTGATAGTATAAAAATAAATTAAATTAAGATAAATTAAATTACACTAAACAAATTTTTTAAAAAATTAAAACAGAGTAACCTAAAAAATAAAAAATGCCGTACAACTAAATGAAATAAAAAATAAAAGAAAATTAAATTAATTAAAAAAAATAACATAATATAAAAGAAATACAAATGCAAAGAAATAAAAAAATTAAGTATAATTGAATAAAATATAATGAAATTTATTTAAACATAATAAATATATTAATACCAAATAAAATAAAAAATTTAAAAAATAAAACAAAGGAAAATAAAGCCAAATAAATGTTTTCAAATGAAATAACATACAACAAAATAAAATTATTAAAAAAAAAATAAATCAAAACAACAAAACAAAAATTAAATAACATAACATAAAATAAAATAAAATAAGTTTAAATAAGACAAATTAATATGAATTAAGATATAATGGAATAAAATAAATAAATTCAAATAACATAAATCAAAATCAAGTATGCAAACTAATAAACCAAATAAAAGAATCTAAAAGAAATTAAAATAAAATTAAATAAAATTAAGGAAATAAAATGAAATGGAATAAAAGAAATAAATTGATATAAAACAAATGAAAATAAAATATAAGAAAATTATAAAGTAAATAAACGAATTTAAAAATAAAACAAAATTATTTAAAACGAAATAAATTAAAACAAAATAAAAATAAAAAGAAATTAAATAAAATTATTAAAACGAAATAAATTAAAATAATATTAAATGAAATGAAAAAATAAAATGAAATTATTTAAAACGAAATAAATTAAAACAAAATAAAGTAAAAAAAAAAAATTAAATAAAATTATTAAGACGAAATAAATTAAAATAATATTAAATGAAATGAAAAAATAAAATGAAATTATTTAAAACGAAATAAATTAAAATAAAATAAAGTAAAAAAAAAAATTTAAAAAATTATTAAGACGAAATAAATTAAAATAATATTAAATGAAATGAAAAAATAAAATGAAATTATTTAAAACGAAATAAATTAAAATAAAATAAAATTATATAAAAAAATTAAATAAAATAATATAGTATAAAACGAATAAATATAAACTGAAATGACATGTAATAAAACAAAATCAAATAAAAGTAAAAAAAAAAATATCTAATAATTAAAAAAATAAGGAAATATAATGAATATAATAAAATGAACAAAATAGTAATATGAAATTAAAGAAAAAAGTCAATATAATTTTTCTATAAAATGAAATCAACCGCAATGAAATAAAATACCATAAAATATAAAAAACAAAAAAAAAACTTTATGAAATTGCCAAATAAAATAATATACAATAATTAAGAAATTAAAGTGTGAAATAGTAAATTAATAAATTATAACATAAAAATAATATAAAATTTCATTAAACAATAATTAAATTTTATTAAAAATAATTAAATAATAATAAAATTTAATAATAAAATATTACATTTATATAATAATACATCATCTTAATAAAAGATAATATGAAATGAAATAAAACGGAGTCATATAAAATAAAATACGACAAAGCAAAAAAATCATAAAATTAAATAACACAAAAAAATAATATATATTATTAAATTAACACAAATTAAAATTATAAAAAATTAAATAAAATTATTGTAAGACTGCGAAAAAAATAATTGTATGTACTCATATGTGTGAATTTCAAATTTTAAGAAACACTACGAGAACTAAAGTATTAAACACTAAATTAGCTAACAATGCTTATGGAACAATTCGAGATAAAACTTAAAACATATTACAATAAAATTCCAGAACTCAAAGTTTTATGACACGCAATTCAAATATTATATATCTATTTACAATAAGAAAGAAATTGCCAAATCTCTAGTTTGTTTTTTATTTTTATTTTTTATTTTATTTATGACTACCAAAAAAATAACAAAAAATCAATATATTTATATCAGTTTCCAAAAATTGAAAACTCGAATTGTTTACCGTTTGGCATTTCATTTAGTAAGTTTATTAATTAAAAAAATATCTTTATTAATTTTATTAAGTAAACTACGAGGCCTGGTTGTTTGTGTATATCGAATATTTGTTATACAACAAAAAAAATGGTTTGAATCTTTATATATAAATTACTTGCTTTCACACAATTTCTCATAGATTTCTTAAACCTAGAAATCTCTTATAATTATTTGACACTCACATTTGTTGTTAAATTCATCAAACTGTTTGCATCCTGACACTGAATTAGATTTTGAGTATTGTTTTGTGCCGAAACTCCTCTGCTGCCGAAGAGGCAGAGTAATCCAACGATTGTTGCGTATTGTAAAAACTTTTGCATTTTTATTAATTTCTCTTTTGTTCTTTGCAAGTTAAAACACAACTTAAAAGAAATCACTACACTTCTTTGTCTCCTTTAATAAATGCTCAACGCCGCTACGCCGCTGCACATTCGAATGGTAAAAGTAAACTGAAACTTGCCACACATTCGATAACTTATATCATATCGTTTTTCACATCTTCGACGCTGACACATTTTATCGCAAACCTGGAAGCTTAGTAAGAGGCTCAATGGTGTCACTTTGTCACTTTGTAGATAAAAAAAAAACAATGCAAAATCATTACTTCCACCTCACAAAGGGGATGAGTAATGGCACGTTGGCGTTATCAGTAAATGAAATATGTGTTTAAAAATGTTTTATATGATTAATAAACATATAGATATACTGTTATTTGTTTGCACACTTCACTGCTTATACAACAGAGAGACTGTCGATTCCACTTGAGAACGTTATAAATTTAAAATTAGTGGACACCAAACGCTTTCAGGAAATGAGTTTAATTGATCAAATCTGTGTATTGAGACAATTTGGGAAAATTACTGAAAACGTCGTACACAATTTCGTCTTAAGAGACCCTGGTAGTATCTTTCATTTCAGCATTTTCACCTCTGGCCTCTGTGTGAAGTATACACTACTATGCCACCTTGGTCAAGACTTAAGTACTCGAAGGTGAGACGAAATTATCCACCTACTTCAGCTAATCCTCTAATACTTTATCCTAAGTCTCAACTAAGTGACCTACACTGTTATTATAATGGTAAGTAATTATACCCGTCCTGCACATGAAATAGTCCTTTTTTATGAAAATTGATCTGAAGATTGTAAGTACCAGAAGGAGAAGAAAAATACCGATCGGATCAAAATGACCAATTGAGTTGATTAAGCCCTCTGTCTGTCACAGGCAGTAGGCAAAGTGATCATACAGTTTTTCAGACACTTCATCCAAATCCTATTAATATTGGTCTAGTAAAGAGGAATCCATTATTTTTGCCTTAAATTGAAGGCTTTATTTACCATAGTTAGAAATAACCGATTTATGTCAAATATCCACCGTTTTGCTAGAAAAACTTTTGCCACTTGAACGGTAATGTCATTATGCCTCTTTCAAAAAAACATTTGTCCCGTTTTGTCAAAGAACTGAGACAATGGATTGTCCAAGGCTTCTCTTGAAGCCAGTTCCCCACCAGCCATATAATACGCCATAGACAGACAAGAATAGTTGGTAATCACTTGATGCAAGGTTCAAACTTCACATGCAAACCTACCAACCTCAAACCTCAAAGCTTCTGGAGTCGATGTGGATGTGTGTAGTCTGACGTTGCCCTGTTGAGATATAATTCTTCTTCTATTAAGCAAAGCATGGCGCTTCTGAGAGATTATTTCCTGCAGACGTTCCTGCAATGCAGGTTCGAATTAAAAGTGTGGCTATTAAGGACCAGCTCATAGTGGATAATTATAGTACTTGCCAATCCAACCGACCATGGAGACCATTTTTGCCGGCTCACTGTCCTTCAATCGCAATCGTTCGCATTTCACGTTGCTGTGAGTTGAACCAATTTTTATTGGCCGTCACCAGCCGTTTCAGAAATGGGTCGATTTTGTTACAGCTCAACAGCGATTGACAGATGGAAATTCAGTCCTTGAGGCTTTTTTTCGTTAACTCATAGGGTACCTATACATCAGACCTCTTTGGGTTTCCGACTGTTTTTTGTGCAATGTTTAGGTCTGTGGCAATCGAAAAATTGCTCGCATGATCGTCAGACTCCACAATTTCCATTGATTTATCGATATTTTCTACAATTGGTCTACCATACCGTAGAGTATATTTTACAAAAAATTTACCGGAAGGAAATGGACGAGACCGAAATTGTTCAAAATGAACTGTTAGTAGTATCAGAAGCATAAACACTACTCACATTTTCAGCTGCTCGACTTGCGTTTTCGCCTTTAGCGAAGAAAAATTTTATAATTGTGGAATGTAGCGTAATTTCTCTTTGCACCTAATAATATTTCTTTAGTGATCAACACTTCTTCCATTCTCTTATTTTTATTACTAAATATCATCTTTATAACGTCATCAAGGCGTAATCCCATAGCATCCCATGAAAAAAAATACGTTTTTTGGAGGAACCTGGCCTTAACGAGTTTGTTCTGATATGAGATTTTGGTCATAGATACTCCATTAAAGCATCTAGGAACTGTTGATAAATTTCAATAATCTGTGCACATACAGGGTGCGCCATCGGTATGTATCCTATTTCAATATTGAATAATTCGCCAATTTTCAGCCAATTTTCACAAATGAACAAAATTTTTTTACGATATTCTATGCCATTTATTTCAAACCAGGTTTAGAATACAACATCGATTAAATGACCACCCCTATTTGATACATAAAAAGCAGCTCTTTTGCGGGCATTCTGCATAACATTGGCCAGCATTCCGGGTAAGATCGCAGCTATTTTAGCTCGTATACTAACTTTGAGTTCGTCAATGTTCTTTGGCTTGCTGGCATAAACTTTACTTTTTAAATATCCCCACAGAAAAAAGTCTGGTACCGTTAAATCCGGAAAACGAGGAGGCCACTCCAAATCACCATTTTTTGAGATAACGCGTTCTGGGAACTTGCTCTGTAAAAACTTGATCGTAGCGGCTGCAGTGTGGCAAGGTGCCTCGTCTTGTTGAAAATAAAAGTTTTTAGGACCTTTTTTCTGCATTTGTGGGCAGAAAAAGTGCGCCAAAATTCAACGGTAGCGTGTACCGCCAATGGTCTCTTCAACTTTGAAGAAATAAGGCTACGATTTCAGCGCATTCTTTCGGTGTGTATCGATTCATAGCTAAAATGGCAGTGAATGACGTTTTAGAATTGTGCTCATCTGTCAAAATCGGCTGAAAAATGGCGGAGCTATTCAATTTTGAAAAAGGATACATACCGATGGCGCACCCTGTATAAAGTATTGTACATTATGACAGAAAATCAACGAAATCAGACGACTATATGATATAGTGAACTAGTATTCAATTCTAAATTGAATGATGTAGAGACTCCGGCATGACCGAAGAGAGTACTTCTTGTTTTCTTTTAAAATCGAACGCAATGCACAACCCCTTGCACAGAGAATTCTGGCATACACCACTGCAAATGTCTGCATTATCAGTTGCATATAAATTTTATCTTTGCATGCGCTGATTTTTTTTAATAATAATATTTTTTTGTGCCAAAGGTACTCTTTTTTTTGTTTCAATATTTATGAGTAGTTGAATTATTTCTAATCATTTTATTTGCGTATTTAGTCAAAAATTGATACTTAAGATAGAAGAATTTAAAGCACAAAAATAATTGTTTGACTAATAACAAATTTTAAGTATTTTGCAGATATGTTTATCAATGATAAAATTATATTTATTTATGCGTCACCCGCTGAACAAATGCTTCCAAAAATTAATCGACCCATTCGTGAAAGCCTGAAGAGTACTTTCGAGCAACTTATTTATGGCTCTACCCCAATAAAATATATAAAATCCGAGGCCAAATCAGCAAGTGCATCTAAGATAAGCTGTAAGAACCTTGTGACATAAAAAGCGGCTTATGATTTGCCATTGAATAAATTCCTTATCAATCACATACCGCTTCATTTCGAATTATGTGCATATGTACGAGTATATGTACATATGTATGTATATCAAAAATCATTTGAAGTACTTCCACTATTACTTAAAAAAGTATTGATGCTTGTCATTTAGAGAAACCCAGTACATTTCTTATAATAAAAAATAAATTAAAAAATGCTTATCCAATTAAAATGAAAAAGTTTGTGAAAAATCCCCTGGAAATAAGAGTGTTCATGATTGATAAGAGTCAATTCGGCTTGTACCTTTTTCCCATTTTATATATATATATATAAGTGCAGAGAAACCTGGTTGAAAGAGAATTCAAAGTACCGTGATTTTGTTATGTCTGACTAGTGTCAGTTTCTGGATTATGGAGATGCAATATAAGTATATCTCCTTAGAGGGATAAATTAATGACGGGGCGAAGTGAGGAAGGTGATAGTCATTCAACCGGCAGTGAATAGAAATTATTATTTTACAAATAGTTAGCTGCAATTTGAGAAAATTACTGAAAACGTCTTACACAATTTCGCCTTAAGAGACCCTGGTAGTATCTTTCATTTCAGCAGTCTCACCCCTGACCTTTGTGTGAAGTATACACTACTATGCCACCTTGGTCAAGACTTAAGTACTCGAAGGTGAGACGAAATTATCCATCTACTTCAGCTACTCCTCTAATACTTCAACCTAAATCTCAACTAAGTGACCTACACTGTTATTAAACTGACTTCCAATCTTGGATCAAGAATCGTCTGGTTGGCTAATAAGCATGCGTTCGAAGGCGAGCTAATATGAGGAGGCGCATACTCTGCGAATGTGTGCCTCGGATGAGCGACATCCGTTGCAAAAATCACAATTTCCTAGAATATTCGACCCTTAAATGGGAACGTGCCGCTTTCCAGCTGCTTGAATAAAGGCTGAAATCAGCGCCATTTAAAAAATTGTGATGAACGCGTCAAGAACGAAAGATGGATCCCTGTCAAATATAAAAAAGCACAAATTTAGTGTTGGATTTGTGGTTAAAAAGAGACTCCGTCACCGAGTACTAACATTCAATCCTTTGGGTGAACGTCTCGTCACAATTCCCATCAAAGCGAAATTCTTCAATAAATCGCTAATTTGTGCCCACGCCTCGAGCGGGAGTAACAGCTCATAGTGGTGAAGTAGATATTTGATTAACTTTGCCGGGGACTGAAATGTGATTTTACTAGATTCCAACCCAAGAAAATGTATCCAGATACTTGGCAATCTTCACATCGAAGAAACTCTAAACCAGATCCAAAATGTTGTGAAAGACATTTTTCCCGTCTTTCTGACACGCGCACGTAGACCCAAAAGGGAATTGGACAACTAACTTTCCACGACTTGGTGCTCCAGCTCTTTGAGAATACTCATCAAGAGCTCTGCATAAGGGAGTAGGGAAAACTTGAAAAGCTAACCAACAGGGGTAAGGCTCGAATATTCTAGGAAAATATGCCTTAACTTACAGACTGATAGCGACTGATGTTCTTAATATACTGAAACCACC